TGATTAACACTTTAAAATATATATATATATATATATATTTTCTTTTTGAAAGACATTTGTGAAGATCAGGATCTGAAAGAAAGAATCATGCAACTGAAGAATGAGATTGAGACAAAACGTGCTTCACAACCACAAAAAGTGAAACGATCTCACAGCCAAAACACGAGAAGGTAAAACATTCTTTATGTAAAAACAAATACTTTTAATGCCGATATAGAAATCCATTCGAAGAGAATTCCTTTAAATATGACGTATTATTTACGTCGGTGAAAAAGAATTCGTCGTAAAGGGTTTCTCCCGTCATATAGCATCCCCTTTCGGCACTGAGCTGTCATTGTAAGGAACTGGGGCTCGTTCCTGGGTGGCGGCATGAACTTCTTCAGACTAATGAGTACCAGCTTATCTGCAGGTAATGCAATGCTGACCACATTGCTACTATCATGCCTGTTCATCACGAAATTGCAGAACTTTCATGACCCCTGACCCACACTAGGCTGCAGCAGGAATGCTTTTTTACTCAAATATTGCATCGTTTCGACTCATAAATATGCACAAAAAATTGAGAATCACTTTTTTAATAACGAGATGGCTGTATGAAAAGAACCTAATTATATGAACCTCCCAATGAGGATATTTAGGTTCAAAACACAGAACAATTTCTGTTCTTCACCGACTGCAGTGCAGACGTAAATTTTCCTCATTGGTAGACGAATCATCGGTTAGAATCTCCTAGCCGCCGGACTAACCGTGGGAGGATCGTGTTTTTCTACTCCACGCAACGTAAAAGTCCCATCGAAGTGCCTAGAGTTCTTTTATCTTCTAGGTTGGGTTCAAAATTAGAAACATATGACATTGAACCTTGATAATCCTAAAATCAAAATTGGGTTAACTGTTCAAGAACGATCGTAATATACATTTAAAATGATTTTCACAATGTGGTAAATTTCGCTAACTTGGGGATTTTTGAAAGAATTTAGCAACTAAGCTTTTTTGCCTCTTCCAAAACCCAGATAATTTTAAAAAGCTAAATAGTTTAAAAATTAATGCAAACTGCTGGCTTTGCTTCGAGTTTAAAGTATGTAAAGTGTGGCTTTTTTTTATTTTCTTTTGGCGGAAGAGCTTTAAAAACATACTTTAATGAAAATAATGACCGCCTGTTTAGTGTGAATTCATTATTTACTAAAGGTGCGGTCTTTAGGTCAACAAGAGTTATTATACTAAGTCTATCGGAGACGCGTCATTTGCTTACTTTTGTAGACAAGAAGGGAGGAGCATGAGTAGGAACATGTAGGAGCGCTTACATAAGAGACTAAATTTTCGGGGACATCATTATATGCAATGCTTTTTTTTTTCTTTTTGTGGGTTCCTTTGTTTAAGTTATTATTTTTTTTATAACCGTCGTTAAACAGCTAACCCAATTTTGAGTTTACGATTAACAATGTTCAACTTCGAAGACAAAAGAACTCCTGGATCAAGCATTCCGAGAAATTAGCCTTCGGGGAGGACTTTTTGAGGAAACTAACCCGCCTTTGCGTTACACGGAGAGGAAAACCCCCGAAAACCTCCCACGGTTGGCCCAACAGCAAGGGTACTCTAACCCATGATCCATACACCACTGGGGGTATCGCTGCGTTACCACAGTGGTCAGTGCGATCTAGGTGCTGAATTCATATGGACCAGCCATAGGTAAGATTTGAATCTGGGAAGCTTCATAGGAAGGCAAGTACTTTATCCCCTGAGCCACCACGACTCTAGTTTAAATTATTGTAAAAAATGTTCCAAGTTACACGAAATTTAAATTTTGCGTCTTGTATGTAAGTAATTATTTTCAAATAAAAAAAAATTACTATGTAAAAAGGTATTTCACTCGATATTCTATTTCATATATAATCTTATACTTTACGAGCTTATGATAAAATCACAATTTTTAATTTGAAACGTAAATTTTGCTAAGTTGTGTATGGGATATGGGACACGCTGTATTTTAAATGTGATTAGTAAAAAGCTTTTTAAAAATTACGAAGATTTATTATTCACGACAGTTATTGATTAACACTTTAAAAACGGGTCCTCGCCAGCGCTGAAATTCGATTCGATCGAATTTGACAGACACAGGGCTCTTGCACACCCAGAACATATTTTTAAAAAAATTACATTTTATTATGTTTTTTACTAACAATGTATAACAGTTCTAAAAATAGGCACTCGCTTTCTGACGTGTCAAAAAAAAAAGTAGAAACCTTAAGTACATCAGTTACTGGTCACTTTTTCCCATCGCTGTTTAAAAAAGTTTTTTAATGAATGTAGAAAGATACTCCGGAAAACAGAATTTTCATTTATTCACTATTTTGATCCTTTAGAATCCATCAATTTGTAATCGTGTGGCTGGAGAGTTCTTATAACATGCTTCCAAGTTTTAATGTATACATTAAATGTCTTTGGCCACCCCAAATATTTTATATAAAGCTCTTTAAAGTCAGTATATTTAACTAAATTTTGTATAATTATGTTATTTTTATTGTTGAATTAACTTTTTATAGTCGTAGAGTGAGGCTGGGATAGCCTGGTTGACAAGGTGCTGGACTAGCATTTGTGAGAAAGGGAGTTCGAATTCAGCTGATCGAAGACTCTCCGTGTAGTAAAGCACTCTAAATCTGTCGGGTCACAAAGTCTTCCTTGCTCCCATATCAAATTATATCTCTGGGGATACTGAATTGGAGGTTGATAGTTCTGTGGCTCGAAATGACGTATGGATGGGTTCGCCCTATAAACGGGTGTGACGTATGGGTGTAGCAGAAGTCGAATTCTTGGTCATAGATAGCACCAATGGAAAACAAGATTAATCGCACCCCGTCTGCCTTAATGGCCGACGACAACAAAACAACATTGCTATAGAATATTTGTAATATAAATTTAAAAAAAAATATATATAACTTGATTCAAGCAACAAGAAATTTTTTAAAAAAAAATATAGCTATTGAATGAGAAGGGCCTATCATTGTCTGTCACCGACTCATTAGGTGTGAGAAAAAAAGTGGCTAATAGGACATTAGATTCTACCGGCCACAGGCTACTAACTAAAAATTTTAATTTTTCAGTATAGTAACAACTCTATGCAAACATGTCCATATTCTTTGTCAAAGGATTTTACTTTGAATTCTACAATAAAATCTAACTCTAAGAAACTGTTTGCGTCTTCAAAACAAAATCATATAGGTGTTAGGTATCAATCAGGTGTGCACCAACGCGCTATACGCGGTCCATAAGGCTGTTTTTCGAATTCTTCTGTCATCTCATGAAATGATGCTTTTTTAAGAATTATATACTATTTTAATAACAGTTTGATCATGTTTAACCTACCTTTAGTCAGCGCCCTCTAAGTTTATTCTGAAAAAATGCAAACTGTGAATTTAACGAAAAGCCACAGCTTCAAGAAATTGAAAAGTGTTTATGATCTAATTGTTTCATTTTAGAGACTTATCCTAACACTGCATTATCTAAGCTCATAAAAATTTTCGAAAGAAATAAGAATAAGACTTTGATAATTTTACTCTAGGTGGAAAAAAGTTGCCAAACTGACTATTTATAGAAAAGCTAAATTAACTTTTGAAATATTTAAGTGATTCGTCTCTTTTAAAGCCCAGATAACTCTTCACGTCAGGATGGTATATATAGTTTAAATTTAAATTTTGGTTCAAGTGTAAGGCACTCAAATTGTAGCTTTTTTAATTTTCCTCGGCAAAAGAAATTCGAAAAACCATTTTAAGGTGTTAAACTATGTTTTAAATAATTATTATTTCAAATGAATTGTGAATCTGTTCTTTATTTTACAGTCAGTCTGTAAGAAGGACGAGCATACGAGACAAAACACTGATATCTCGTCGAGAGGCGAGAGAAGAGGCAAGAATCAGACACGAGCAACAAGAACAGAGTGGAACAGACGAGGTAATATATGCGCCTTTCTAGAATATCTGTTATGACGATATAGATTGCTACCACTGCTATTAATGCTGTGTTTTTTTTATTCTTCTTTTGTTTTTTCTCTCCTATTAAAGAATCAAGACCCCAAATCAAAACCGGTTATTAAAGCAGTACCAAAATTTAGAGTTTGATTTACTGGAAAAGGTGAGAATTATACTCACTCTTTTTCTCCCTTATCCCCCATCCCCTCATTTTTTATCTCTGTTGATAATTATATGTTACTGTGAATGACTAAAATGGGTTAACTTCCAACCGGTGAATGTTGACAATCATCTAGTCGCTTTGGTAAATGTTCGAAATATACATTAGGTCTAGATTACCACTGCCCAGTATGTCCTACATCAATGTTTTTTAAGGTCTAGTGCCACTACCCAGCATGCATTTAACCGAACGCTGACGTTTCTCCTAATCTTTCCTCAGCAGATAATAAAATATGGAATCAATATAATAATATCAACGAATCAATTAATATCAAGTATTTCGGACATTTATCAAAACGACCACGTGATTGTTGACACTCTGGGTTGTTCACGGTAAACATATACATAAATGAATTATTTTTAAAAAAATGGCAACTATTTTGAAAATCAAGTGAAAGTAGTTTTAAAATACAGTCTGCCAACTCAGCAAAAAGTCCACTATAAGGGCTCTTTGAAAACATATTGTAACAGTATTGTTAGAAATAGTGATAGCAATAGTACGTACTTTGCTTTATAAATTATTAACAAACTAAATTTGTTGAATTTCTTTACAAAGAAATTTCCTAACAAAAATTTTTTTTTTCTATAAAGAAATTTTTAATCGGTCAGAACATCAACTAACATTCAAAATATTCACATTTAATGAACTACTTTACTTTGCTTTATAAATTATTAACAAACTAAATTTGTTGAATCTCTTTACGAAGAAATTTCCTAACAATTTTTTTTTCTATAACGAAATTTTTAATCGGTCAGAACATTAACTAACATTCAAAATATTCACATTTAATGAATTGCTTTACTTTGCTTTATAAATTATTAACAAACTAAATTTGTTGAATCTCTTTACAAAGAAATTTCCTAACAATAATTTTTTTTTCTTTCTATAACGAAATTTTTAATCGGTCAGAACATCAACTAACATTCAAAATATTCACATTTAATGAATTGCTTTACTTTGCTTTATAAATTATTAACAAACTAAATTTGTTGAATCTCTTTACAAAGAAATTTCCTAACAATAAATTTTTTTTTACTATAACGAAATTTTTAATCGGTCAGAACATCAACTAACATTCAAAATAATCACATTTAATGAATTGCTTTACTTTGCTTTATAAATTATTAACAAACTAAATTTGTTGAATCTCTTTACAAAGAAATTTCCTAACAGTAAATATTTTTTTTCTATAACGAAATTTTTAATCGGTCAGAACATCAACTAACATTCAAAATATTCTCACTTAATTAATTGCTTTATAAATTATTAACAAACCAAATTTGTTGAATTTCTTTACAAAGAAATTTCCTAACAATAAAATTTTTTTTTCTGTAACGAAATTTTTAATCGGTCAGAACATCAACTAACATTCAAAATATTCACATTTAATTAATTGCTTTATAAATTATTAACAAACTAAATTTGTTGAATCTCTTTACAAAGAAATTTCCTAACAATTATATTTTTTTTCTATAACGAAATTTTTAATCGGTCAGAACATCAACTAACATTCAAAATATTCACATTTAATGAATTGGTTATATCCTCTAGTTTGTGGGCAACCTTGTTGTACTAACGTTGATTTGGTTTTATGATGTTTTATTGTTATAAGGGCCTTTTGGCACAAACAATTATAATAGATGTAAAATTTGCAAATTTTGATACTTTGCACTGTAACTAGCAAATTGTAAAAACATCAGATGCTGCCATATTTTGTAATTTTTAAATTGATTTTTATACATGCCTCGGATGGTCTTCGTCGAACCGCTATGAATTTTTTAATACTTTCATTTTTCCCAATAATCACCAAATCATGAGTTTTTTAGGTTTTATTTCCGTCTCTTGTGAATAAAGTTGAATTTTAACGGATGCACTTTCCCATGTGCCTGTTTTTTTTTCAATACTAATGACGTTGAACTCAATTCTAATAACTATCAGCATTCTTATAATCCATTTAAAATTGAAAATACCGATTTAAACATAGGGTGAGGAGTACCTAACTCGTATAGCTCTTTCATTTAAATTGAACTTTATAGAATGAGAGGGAAGAGGGGGGTGTGAGAGATTTACGTAGCATAAATTTGCGATATAATAATAATAAACATGATAAGATTCTGAAAAAAAAACGACTAAATTTAATTTGTGCAAAAAGAAAACCTGGATAAGGAAAAAACTATTCACTTTATTTCCGTATGTTACCGTGAATGACGGAAATCAAGAGAATGTCGACATTCACCGGTGAATGTCAACTATCACAAAGTCGCTTTAGTGAATGTCCGAAATATTTGCCATATCAGATTTGATATTAGTTTATTCGTTGATATTATTGTATTTATTCGATATTTTGATATCTTCTGAGGATGAATTAGAAGAAATATCGGTGCTCGGAGTACCGGTGAAATGCATACTGGGGCAGTGGCACGTGACCTTAAAAAACATTGATGTAGGGCATACCGGGCAATGGCACTTAACTAAGCCTAGTTTCGGGCATTTACTAAAGCGAGATTGTCAACTGTGGAAGTAAATAACCATCCATTTCGCTCATTCACAGTAAACAACAAATATACAGTTGATCGAGAGTTGATGAAAATCAATCAATGAGCAGCTTGAACTATTGCATCACTCCCTGGATTCCTCCCCCCAAAAAAACTTTGAAACTGATTAGAATAAATTATACTTAGTAAAAAAAAAATAGTGCGTGGAGTCCCTCCGAGCGGAGGAAGTTAAACTTCGCGAACCCGCGACGTTAATTGTAGAAGAATCAACAGTCGTAGAAGAATCACTAGTTCTATTCAACGACTCTTTTTCCTGCTCCGCTCGCTTCCGTGCTCTGTAATTACGGTAATATTGTGCATTTTTCCCTCGTGGACCTCTTGAACCAGTGGAAGTGCTTGTGGTTGCCTCATCGTCTCGCCCTGGAAAATGTATTTGTATTAATAATGTATGTGAATGCGTCATAATGTAATTTCAGAAGAGAAAACCTAACAATCAATTGATATTCACAAGAGACGTACCTTGACATAACCTTAAATCCGTCGCATTGTCCGTGGGATTGTTTTCACTCATTTTTTACAATTGTTATCCACTAAATTTGAAAATAAAAAATACTACCCTATTAAATTATATGTGTATCAAAACAAACTAAAAAAATATTTATAGAAAAACAATACTTTTATTACTTTTATTATTTTTATGCTAGTGAGAACCAAAACAATATGGAAATGAATGAGGGAAAACTGGATCCTACCACGTGATTTCCCGGCCAATATAAATGTAGCGTTAAACGTTTAACGCAACCTTGTTGGAAGTCGCATAAGAAGTATAACTTCAAAAAGTGGTAGTATTAGGAATTGTGAATTTTTCAACTATGTAGGTACATTATTTCACAATTATTTAAATAGTTATTTTTACTATTTAAATCATGTGTGCCAACTTCTTTTATAAATCACAGAGTTTTTTTTTACCATTTGAAGAGATATTAAACTTATTGATAAACAATTTTACTTTTGATTCACAATGATTTCCTCCGTCACTCTATGTAATTAATTTAAACAAATGTTTAAAATCAAGGATTGACAATGAAGGTTTGAGGTGCTGGAAAAATGAAACAAACCCTATAAGCCTACAAATATATTTACGATGCAAAAGAATGATAAATAAATATATTTATTTATCAAAAATATTTTGAAATCTTGGTTTTCTTTCTTCTCAAAGCAAAACAAGTCATTTATTGTTACAGATTTCTTTTCATTTTCTAAGAATTCGTATCAATCTAAAAATGTTCCTCATTATTTTAAAAGTTTCGAGGCCTTCCTCAAATGTTTGCTCTAATTGGTTTTTGTTAAGTTCGGGTGCATAAACATCAAACCTATTGTTCTAGGCACTTAACACAAATTGTAACAAAAGCATATTTTCTTCATTATTATCATCAGAAATTTCTATATTTTTTGTTGTTGCTTCGATTAACAAATTAACATCAATTTTTCTTCTTCAAATGTCTGTAGAAATTCTGAATCTTAATTTTGCCTTTTGCTTCCATAACTATGATGACCATTCAATTTTTGGTTTGTCAATGTGTTTTGTGCAAGGATATTTTTATTTCAGATTTTTGAAGTGTTGATTAGTTTACTTTACACAAAGATATATTAAGTTTGTTTATTTTTTGTTTTAAAAATATGCAGTTATTGGTTCTTGCCATTGGAAAAAGAATGTTGAATGTAATTAACTTCTTTGAATAGCCAGATCTATTTACGATTTCAATTTTATGATTTCGGTTTCAGTAATAGTTTTGTGCTCGATAGGCGAACGCCCTTACAATTTTCAAGAGTTATAGCATTTTTCATCATCCTTATATTTAATTAATTCATTTCATGATATTTAACTACGACTACTGTATGCATGGCTTCAAATTTGTAAGGTCGACGAGGAAAATTGTATGTCTTTACAATTTAAAAACTCCTTGAAAAAGTATTTTTTTTTTTTTTTTGCAATAATGGACCCTATTGCACAAATTCATAAAAGCGGACCCTGGTTGAAAGAATGTGAGTAATTATTTCACAATTTCACGAAAAACGGACCTTTCACAAAATGTCTGGACACATCCCTGTCTATATAACATACTCTCACTTGAATATTGATTTGTGACTACTGACCTATTCGCTTTTTTTTCATCTAAAACTAAATATTAAGATCGTTTATTATGGAACCCTCTATAAATACCGTGTCCTGCAACGGACTTACTTATTTGAATCTCGTCATCCAAGAATGATAGAAGAATGAAACAAACGATATGGTTAAATTGTAAGAGTTTTATACAAAAAAAAAAAAATTGGAAATCTGTTAAAAAAGTTGCCAATAGATGGCGGTACAAGCCATCTATGACCAGAACTATCAATCTAATCCTTGAAACGTGAAAGGAGACTGTTATACCAGATAATTAGGTACCATGCATTCTATTGAACGCCATGTGCTACCGGAATATCACAGATTATCTTATAGTCCTATGCCATTCATATTCTTTTCAAACAAACTCTGTATAGCGTACACCACCATCTGTTGATAAGTTTTGTAATTAAATTCTAAAACTTAATCTGCATACAATTTTTGCAACTGAAACAATAAGCATGCAGTTTGTTTAATTTCTATATCCTCCTTTGTTGATGAAATTTAAAACAGTCAGTCTACCGCTGGGTACAGTGTAACTTCTAGCACAATCCTCATTTTTTATCCTTTTAGTGTGAGAGAATAAAAAAAACCATTTATAAAATTTTTATCCTTTAATGCTGCCAAAATATAAACGAGCTAAATGTCGGAGCAGTCTGTATGTAAGAAATAGGTACCGTGAATAGTCAACATTCATTTTAAGAACTTTTTATATTACAATTATTAGATCAATCCATTTACGATTTTTGTGAACTTTTATTATGATTTAATATATATTCCTAATTTATCTAGAAAGAAATAGTTTTGTTTTAAATTATGACTTAAAATTGTTATTTTTTCTATTTTTGAAATTTTCAGGAGGAAGAAAAACTACAGCAAGACATGAGGACAACGGAAAAACAAATTCTCTCCCCCGGTGTTGTTGATTCCACCATCCAAGACATCCCCTGCAAAGAAACCATTCCATTCGGAATGCACAAAAACAATCGAGACTCCGCAGACGACGAACTCGCAACGCATTATGATCAAAACGAAGACGATGTGGAAATGCACACTCAATATCTGAACAATCTGAACGAAAGCATGAACAATGAGTTCGCGAAACACGACGATTCTTGTGATCAAACCATCTCGACCCCTGTCATCCAGCATGGTCAGCCGGAGTCCGTAAAAGTCGAAATCCACGTGACTGTTAACACAAACCCTCCCTACCCACCAAACCATGGCACTTTGGCAGACCTCAAGAAGCACAGATCGGACATGCGTACCAGGAGCAGTTTAATGCTGACCCCTTCTCAGCAGGAGATAGCGGAAAAGATGGGCAAGAAGAATGGACATGGACACACTTTCAGCACAACCTATGTGTACGACAGGCCACCGTCGCCCACAATATCCTTGCGGCGATTCTGTAGTGATCCCTCTGAGGTAGTGGGTGGTGAAGTACCCAAACAAGGTTGCTGTTTGGTGATGTGAACAATACCGTGCATTTGTCTTGCCATAATATTATCTTTTGTTGTTCTCTTTCTGATCACATGTTATCATTTTATACCAATTTATTTGATGAGGTTAAACTAAATAGATAGATTTGACGACATATCATCCATTCATATGTGGTAGATATCGGGTCATTCTCACTGCATGCGATTCACGCTCATCCGATCACTGGCGAGGGCCAATGAGAAACAGATTGATGAAATCTATTCTCTTGCTAAAAACTCGCCAATCAGTTTCTCCATTTCTCTTGATGATGACTTGAATCGTATGCAGCGGGAACGGTCTCTAAGCTACAATTAAGTGTATAACTGGCAAGTTGTTTGCCAGCTTAACAAGAATCTCCTATAAAATAACTATTTAGTGGACATTTCCCCTTTCATATGCCACTAATAGTTCGATGGACAACTAATAGTTCCATGAGATGAAGGTGACAAGCATAAATAATAGAATCTTATTTAGGAATGTAAATTTATTCGTAGCTTTCCAACAATTTGTTGTATTTAACGAGAAGCATAATTTTACATGTAACAAATTAAATTTAAACAAAGTTGAAATTGGGACAAAAACTGCTAATATTTCAACAATTATATTCCATGTTCGATAGTATTCTACAATTCATTTCGTATACGTAATACATTTATTCTTATGAACAAGAACTATGAATTTTATTGTTAAGAATAGCTCATATAAATATCAATTCGTCCATTATCTACTAGTTGGATTTCATATCAGATATTTCTTTAATTTGTACAAAATTTATATTCTATGCAACACTAATAGCAAAATTGGCTTTTTTTCGCTTAGAATAATGCTACAAAGTGTTTTATTACTACTTTAGTAACAAAATTGGTCTATTTTTCCGATGAGAATGAAGTTAAATATCATTTTATACTACATTCATAAAAAAGTTGTCAATTTTTTTTTCTTTGCTGAGAATCATGTTAAATATTGTTCTATGCTATATTAGTACGAAATTTGTCTATTTTTTTTATCAGAAGAGTAATGTTAAACATCGTACACGAATGTCATTTTATTAATTATGTACCAATTCCATGTGTGTCTTAATAGAATATTCTAATTTCATAAGTCTTGATTTAATTCCGTTTGCTATTTTGGAGAAAAAAAAAGACAACTATTCCATTGCTGAGAAGGGCCGATTTTGATTTTTTTTGCTTAAATAATAATGTGAAAGCTCTTGATGAAAATATTTTTGTGACTTCATTTTCTTTACCAAGTTTTTAAAGAAAGAGGACGATTATGAAAGAACAATTTTTTGTTAAATTTTAGCAGCTTTGAAACCCAATGAAAGTAGGCTTGTTTATTACCCGGAAAAGGTATAAAACAACTGGTAGTAAAAACGCTTTATTTTTTTATTTTTAATTCAGGAGAAGTAAAAAAAAATCAGTCACTATTATTGCTTTCTTAACAGTTATAGTATACTCTGACTTGTTAGTAAATATGTATGTTTTTATAAAGAAATCAAAGTGTTAGTCAGGAATTTCTCCTAAAACAACTGTTAACAATTAAATGTTCTTACTACCAGCTTTGTATCTGTCTTTTTTTTTTCGTAAAGTGTTAAAGTGTTTCGTAAAGTTCGTTTGCTCTGTTAATCATACATTTACTGAAACAATATACTGAAGAACGAATCTTAGAGCTTATTTTTCAATTATTTTCATTTCACTTGGTCAGATTTTTCTATCAAAACTTTTTTGTAAATCATGGTGAAACATTGAAGAAATCCCTTCTTTTATATTTATTAACCTAGAATATTTACCGGTAGTATTGAAATTCATTCGCTGCAATGTTGTATAATACAAATTGAAATGTTGTTATAATGCATAATCAGTCGTTGTAAGGATTTGTTATTAAATATTTTATTTAAAGAAGTGGCTTATAAATTCACAATATGCACACAAATACAATGTAGGGTCAATAAACTTTTAATTTTGGAGAGAGCTTTAAAAAATATACGTAGCTCAAAATGTGTTTTAAAATGTCTCGTTTTTATTGAGGCCATTTGCTTGAAATGTGTATTTTATTTTTATTTTTAAAAAGCGTCCTTCTTTTAATGGACGGTGGCCAAATGTGTGTTTTGGAAAACGGGCAAAACATAAAATACGTTTTTTAAGAAAATGGACATGGCTCAAATTATGTATTTTAGAAAGCCAATACTGCCTGAAATGTGCATTTCAGGCAGTGTTTGCTATCGGCAATTTTTTTTCGGAAATTTAACATCAAATGATCATCGAATTTTTTTAAAAATATTACAAAAACAATAGTGTTCATATTAGTTTGAAACCGCGAATAGACTGCTGTAGTCATCTTTCTTAAACATGCATTAGTTTCCATTTTTTAAAACATGCATTTTAAATTATAAATCTTTTTTTTAAATGGGTATTTTGAGTTGCGTAAATTTTTTTGAGTAAGCAGGCCATTATATCCATTTCCTATAAAAGTATTTTGAGCTCTGTGCAAAATGAAAATCTCACTAACCACATATTTTCCACATATTACAGATAAATCAACAGAGAAAATTATTTTAAAATAACTCGTTTTTTACATATCTAAGTATTTTTTACTATTTAAAGGTAATTTTTTTTAAAAACACAATTAGTAAAATTTGCGATATTTACATTGAAACTTAAGTTGTTTTTCCCAACTTTTGAATTGAAATTTATTTTTGACTATCTCCTTCCTATTTAACAAATCAGGAAATTTTCTCTTTTTTATTCAAACTTAAGTTAGCTGATGAAACAATATGCCCTGCATTACATTACTGTATTATGATAATTCTCCGCAATATTTATTCTAATTATAGTTAATTAGGTGACTTTCTAAATCCATTAGAAGTTCTCCTCGCTATGTTGGTACTAAGAGTGTCACTTGTTCATCTATATATGCATTGAATGATAAAAACATTATTATTATTCCTGGAATTGAAATTATTAATCTAATAAAGGGTGGTATTTTTATGTGAAAATAATCATGGATTTCCGATTCACTTTAAAAAAGATAGTTAAAATGCAATAAATAATATAAAATCGATTTTAAGTGTGGTATGAGGAGGTTGTATTATCTTTATCGCTGCATTCATAATGATTTATGAATTTATAATTATCATCGATTTCTTAATTACTTTAAAAGTATTGCCGAAGAGAAATTCAAACAATAATATCGTTTTTAGGCATGATATAAGAACGTAAAATTATTCTTGAATTATTATCCTGGATTTCGTTGTAGTGACAGGTGTACTCATAAATTCGATTTTAAGTACATTGAGGACTTTGAATTTGATTACAATTTAGATATTTTATGGAATTTTTAGGAAGGCATATGGAAAGATTTTTGACTACAGATGGTAAGAATATTATGTTTTGAAATAGTAATTCTCGACCCGTTAGTGTTCTCCTCTACGGTCAGTTTAAAGCATACAACTGCAGACCGCAGAGGACCGCACAGTATCAAGCTGAAGCGGACAAAAAAGTTTTATTTCTATTTTATTAATTATAAATGTAGGAAAACATTGAAAGGTGAGAGTGATTAACATTCTTAGCCTTTTTTTTGTTGTTGCGGCACACTTTTAACGATTTCGAAATTTGACGGCACACAATGAANATCTCGCCACGCTCGCTCGCCAATGAACACAATGTTCTAGCACAAAGACATAGTATTTTATCATCAAAGACATAGTATTGTACTTATGTAGAAGAATACTACCAATATTCTTATAGGCTTTTAAAAAAGTATATTAGCTATTTAGATAGTACATGGTGAAAAAATATTGCTTCACTAATATTCTGCATTTCAAAGCGTGAAAATTCAATGCATAAATAAACGTAAAATATAAAAAAAATTCAATGCATTCAATACAAACACTTAAACGTTTTTTAGACGAATTATGGAACAATCGAGC